CCAGCCTGGCTCGTGGAGGTACAGTCGGGGCGCTGAAGAAGGAACCCTTTTCGTTGGGGAGGGGCTCGGTGTTCCTTCATTGTTCCACACCTTGCCCAAGGTTTTCCTTAAGCTTTCGATGGGAAGGCGAAGGTTAACTTATGAAACAAGGGGCCTCGTTCCTTATTTAGGGTTCCTTAGGTCAACGCCTCGACTGTAAGCCTGCTGGGCTTGGGAGCCCGTGTCCTGCGTCCCTCCCTGGACGGGAGATGAACGCTGCAGCGCGGCACAGGCGGAGGCGTTACCTCAAGGGTATGGATCCCAGGTGCGGCGAGGATGCTGTGATACCCGCTAGCTGGTCGATATCACGCCGTGCATCCGTCCCCGAGGCGCCTGTTGCCACACAGACCAGTGGGTAGCGTTTCGTTGCCAGCCGATTGCGCTGCAGTGGCCACGCACGGGACGAACAGAAATATCGGAGGGTTTCGGGGGGAGAGCACTTTGGATCGGGGACAGGTCTTCGGACGTTTTCGTCGGTTTCAGGTGCTTCTCCAGCCTAGGGGTGCTCTCCAGTAGCTGCCCCCGGCCTCGTTCTGGGGTCGCCGGGGTGGTCCCGAACGGCCGCGGGGGATCCGAGTTATGATCCGGAAGCGTCGGGAGCCCTGGAGGGCTCTCTTCGGGAGGTCTTCGGGGAGGTTCTTCACATCTGTTCTGAAGGGCTTTGCTTTTCGGAGGTCTCCAGACGTCCTCGCATGCCTTCCTGGCGCTTTCGGCCTGTTCTTTTGGGGGGGTGCTCTCCGGCAGGGCCCCTCGTGTCGAGGCAGCGCAGGCATGGATTCGCGCGCGCGGGTTCGCGACGGGTCCTGCTGTCGTGGAGAGTCAGCGCGCTCCGTCGCCCGAATCAGGCGGCAGCGGCCTCCTGCTCAGGGGGGAGCCTCCCCCGCTCCGTGGATTTGGCGCCCTCGCGCCAGATCCATGGGTCCGCAATTCCTGTTCGCGTGCGCCCGAGTGTGGGTTTCTGGACGTTTTGATCGGTTGTCGGCGGTGTTTTCGGCCACCAGAATGCTCTCTACCAGTTGCGAGGAGGGGGGAGGAGGGAGCAGCCCTCCTTCCCCCGGCTCCCTCAAACCTCCTCCCTCTCTTCCTCCAGAGGCCTTGCTCCGTGATTTGTCTACACGACGTCACGGTTTGGCCATTTCCAATGCCAATTTCAGTTCTTCCTCACTCCTCTCTCCCTCCTCCTCCCTGCCTCCTCCCTCCCTCATCTTTCCCTCCTTTTTTTTTTTTTGTCTTTCTCTCTCTCTCTCTCTCTCTCTCTCCTCTTTCGGTCTGACAAAGGTCAATGACATATCCCCCCTGACTCCTCCTCCATCCCTACCTACACTCCTCCCTCCTCTGCTTCTCCTCCCCCCTCCTCCCTCCTCCCTCCTCCTCGTCCTCCTCCCTCCTCCTCCTCCTCCTCCCCCTCCTCCTCCTCCTCCTCCTCCGCCTCCTCCTCCTCCTCCTCCTCCTCCTCCTCCCTCTCCTCCTCCAAGTGCTCTCGACGGTTTGCATTTCCCTGCACAGGTTCACTTTAAAATTGCACGCCGATGACAGCGGCTGGATCTCGACTTGAAACCGTCAATTGATCATGCACCACCTTCCCAAGGCTTGGTTTCGACCTTGTCCATGCGTTAGCGGAGGGTGTTGGAGCTGAGGTGTCTGATGAGCCTGGGGAGCGGTCTCTCATCCTGTTCCTCGCTGGAGCTGGGAAGAGCGCTGGTCAAGCGCTTAGGCGATGCCATCGTGCCCTTAGCCACTCTAGCCAGCGGTTTGGGCGTCGACGATGGAGCTGGCAAGGCTCGGCGCGGAGCTGGACGTTCTATGAAGGCCAAAGCTCGCGAGAGGACGGCTGCCCAGTTTTGCGTTCGGTTAGCTAGGATTCGGCCGGCGATTGGAGGCAGAGGTGCCAGGACAAAAAGTGCCACGGGTTCCATAGCTTCGAATTTGTTTGGAGCGGATGTTTATGTTGTGATGGATTTCGAGCTCCTCAGGTATGGTCGCGAGGCTGGATTTGAAACTCTCGGCCGAAGGCCGCAGTTTGACTGCCCTGCTTCTGGTTCACGACCAGTTCTTTTGGCTTGCTTCGGTCGCCCCCATCCTGGGATGGTCTTGAGAGATTTGGGCCGTCTACCTGGGGCTTCACAGTGAGGCCCTCCCCTTGCTTGAGCTCAGGTCAGCGCGGGAAGGGGGCTTCAGGGGCGAGTCCCCTCTCTGGTGCAGTGTAAAGTGTCCGATCTCTGCTCTTCGTAAATCCCGCGGGAAGATTTCCTGGAGTATGGCTTTGTTTGCTATTTCATGCGCGGGCCACGGCTCCGATGTCAAGTTGACGGAGTCTAGTCCTCTCCTCATTCGCCCCCTCCTCAGGAAGGCTGTCCTACGGGGTTGGGAGTGGGACTTGAGGGCTGCGCCTGACCTTGATGGAAGGGTCTGCGCGGACGGCATCCTCCACCTTTTGCATCCTGGCAGACTCCCACCGAACGAGAAAGGGGTATATCCGTACAGTGCCGTTTTTAGTACATGCTCCGCGTGCGGATCATGTATTTAACTTGCTGGGATTTAGTATTAAAAACAACGATGAGTTCATGCATACATTTATTCATAAATCAATCATCATTTTTTTAAATCCTGTATAGAAAAATCCAATGTATTACAACTGTCCAGTATATCCGTACCCCTCGTTTGCGAGGCTGAGTGCATGTCCGAGTGCGCGTGCTCCGCGGCCGCCTCGCCCCACTCTCTCCCCCCCCCCTCCAGTGCACTCCGGCCGAGCCCGCGCAGCGGTCGCCCCGCATCGCCGCCCCGCGGGAGCAGCACTGCTGCCTCGCAGCCGACGTGACGGGAGGTGGCCGCGTCCGTGCGGCGGGCCCCGGGCACAAGCTCTTACCAGTTTGAAGCAGATCTTTATCCCTGTGTTCGACATCACCTCACCTCGATGCCGATCTTGAGGATTCCCTCAGTTTCTGAGGGCCTATCCCTAAGATGGTCCTCGCTTTCTGCTCGCCCATCTCAGGGATAGGGATAAGTTCGAGGCTGGTTAAGATCGGCGCCCCGTGTCGTTTTGTGCCAGGCTGCCTGCGGACTGGCCGAGGCACAGGCGGTGGGCGTGCGCTGCTGCCCGAGGGGCTTCGCATGGCCCTCGCTGAGCGGCGGCGAGCGAGGGTGGGAAGCGAGCGAGGGTGGGAAGCGAGAAGGGGCGGGGACGTTCCCCGGCCTCCTGAGAAGTTTTCTGAGCCATCCCCGAAGACACAGACAACTTCTTAGAAGGCACGAGGGCTTCTGAGCAGTCTCGCCGCCTTCTGCGAAGGCCTTCTCTTTCTCGTTTCCCCCCTCGTTCGCCTCCAAATTTCGGAACATGTCCGGGCTGTGGCCCGTGATGATGGCGATGGTGCAGCCTGTCACAGTGCTTGTCCTCATCCTGGTGCCTGCATCCCTGGGCCCCTGACCCCTGGAGCTATGCAAGTGCGAGGGGGGTTGTCTCGTGAGCCTGGGGAATGCAGTGCGGGGGGACACCCGCGGCGACGGGCCTGGTTCTCGCAGCACAGTGTGGGAGCTCCAGCGTGTTGGCTGTGCCCTCCCTGCCTGGAGCCGTAAAGCAGGTCTCGAGGTCCTTCGAGCTCGGGGGCCGGTGTGGGCCCCCACTCCACAGACCCCCCAGGCTGCCGAGTTCTGTGCTTGCTCCGTGGCGGCTCCGTGGTCGCCAGGTCCCTCGGATGTCTCTGACCTGCCAGGGCTGCGTTGACCTCCACCCCCCGCCTTTCGCCCAGGAGTGCTCTCGCACGCGGTCCTCCCCTGGCGTTGCTCAGCTTTGCCGAGAGGTTGGACCAACGTGCAAGGTCACCGAAGTGAAGGCTAGCCAGCAGGCAGAGGAGTGTGAAGGTACATTGGCTGCCTTTTTGTGTGAAGGTCATCGTGCTGTCGACGTTTCGACTAAGCAGGGCGCTTCGATCCACCCTGCGCCCGATCCTTGTGTGCTGGAGGATGCCTGTGACAAGCTTAGGGTTGCTAAAGCGGAGGGTGTCCTTGCGGTCAAGTTGACGGCCCAGATGCCACGTCTCGAACTCGGACCTTCCGTCGCGAGGGACCTTGACCCTCGCTTCCCGCCAGGCCGCCCATTCCTCATCGTTTTGTTCGGGTCGCTTCCTTTTGGCAGTGCTCCAGGTACCCGAGAGGGAGGAGGGGCAAGCCTGGTCAGGACCCCCCTGCGGGCAGCTGCTCCTGCTCTGTGCCCCTCCAGCCACTCCACGATTCTCCAAGGGGGGATGTGGGACTCACTTCGTTCGGGACCTCCCGAGCGAAGTGAACCCCGCCTCCCCCCTCAGACATCGTGTGTGGGGGGGGGGGGTATGGCTCGCATGTGGCCTCCCAGCCTGGGGGCCGGCTGTCCCCAGGGCTCCACTGTCCTGACGGGGCGCGGGAGGTTGCTGCTCTCTCCTCGCCAGGGAGGGTTGGCCCCCGTGGCCCCGCCGACCGCCCCGGGCTGCACATCCTCCTCCGAGGAGGGCGGCGGACGCACTCCGCACGGGAGAGGACGAGGGCATCTCGGCCCAGTTTCGGTCGTGGGCGGAGGTTCACCAGACCGATGTTCGTTTTCCCCTCGCGGGTCTCGCCCTCCCGCGTGCGGTGTACGTGGGATGCATGGCGCCATTGATGGCAACAATTCGTTCTCCTCGTCGTCGTCCTCCTTCTTCTCCTTCTCCTCCTTCTCCTCCTCCTGAAGCGCTGAAGCACTGACGGCAAGAGAGTCCCTCCTCCTCCTCCTTCTCCTCCTCCTCCTCCTCCTCCTGCTCCTTCTCTTCCTCCCCACGGTTACGTCGTCCCCTCCTCCTCCCCCCCGCTTCTCCTCCTCCCCTCCCCTCCCAGCCCCTCCACCTCCCTCTCTTCCCCCTCCCCTTCTCTCCCCCTTCCCCTCCCCTTCCCCGCCTTCTCCCCTCCTCTTACCTCTGCGCGGGTGGCCAGGGACGAGGAGGAACCCCCGACAGGCCCGGCGGGAGGACTCATACTCGCCCGCGCCTTCGACACCCACGGGGTCCGCCGCCGCCGAGCCGCCGCCGCGGGTCGGGAAGCAGGAGCTCCTCATCCTGCCCTCCTCCTCCTCCTCCTCCTCCCTCCTCCTCCCTCCTCCTCTCTCTCCTCGCCCTCCTCCTCCTGACTCCCCCCCTCCCCCCACTCCCTCCAATCCTCCTCCTTCTCTTCTCCTCTTCCTCCTCCTCATCCTCCTCCTCACAATCTTCCCCCTCCCCCCTATCCGACCTCCTCCCCTTCCTCCCCTTCCCCCCCCCTCCTCCCCCCCCCTCCCCCTCCTAACCTCCCTATCCTCTTCCCCCTCCACAATTACACTATATATGAATACTATTCTCCGCTCTCCCCTGATGACGTCCGGAAGATGTCTGGACCCCCTCCGCGTGTTGTTTTTTACACGCCGGATTCTCGGGAATTGGGTTTTCACTTGGGTTTGTTTTCAAAATGTTGCTCCCGCTGAAGCGCTGGCATCCTTTTCAGGCTTCGCTCGTTCCGAATCGTGCTCCCGCTGCACCGCTGGCCTCATTTCCGCGCTTCGCTCGTTCCGAATCGTGCTCCCGCTACAGCGCTGGCCTCGTTTCCGCGCTTCCGCTCGTTCCGAATCGTGCTCTCACTGCAGCGCTGGCGTCATTATTTCCAGTGCCATGCCACGGCATGCAATGCAATGCTATCTGGTGTTCCGCTGTGCGATGCCATGCCTTCAGCTGCAATGCTAGGATGTGCAGTGCTTGACTACGCAGCGTCACGCCATGCTATGCCATGCTACGCTCCCGCTGCAGCGCGGGCGTTCCGGTCCTTCCAAGTAGGCCCGAAATCTAGAAAATAACCCCCAGAAAAATATCGCAAGTGAGTACACATCTGGTGTCGATTCGTTGAGTTTTTGGGCCGCAGAAGGCCCCCCCCCAATTCGGGGCGGCGCCGTTTGGAGGAAGTATCAAGCGGGAGCACCGCTTCTGCTTTGAGAAGGCGATGTTGCAAGCAGAGCCAGCGGGTGCTCTCCATCAGCCCCGCCTTGTGGGGAGCTTTTCGGGGAGCCCAGGAAGCTAAACATGGAGCCGCGACTCCAGACCGGCCCAGACCCCTCGAAGACGATCCACTTACCCTCCATGGAATCCGGTGCCCTGCCATGACATTATGTGTGGTGTTCTGTTCTGTGCCTCTGTACGATGCCATGCTTTGCATTGCAGTGCATTGTGATACAATGCTCAACTACGCAATGCCAATCCATGCTATGACATGCAACGCTCTGCCGTGCTCTTCTACGCCCTGCTATGCCGTGCTCTACGATGCATCGCGCACCCTCTCGGGATCATTGCCCTGCTCGACATCCGACTGCGAATAGAGAGGAGGAGATCTACTCCATGGTAAGAGATGGGAGGGAGGGTGAGGACGTCAGATATGACGCGAGCGCGCCGAGCTTGTCCTATCCCGCTCTTCCTCATTCCCGCTTTCCATTTCCCCCTTCCTCCTCTCGTGGGTCGAGGCTCGAGCCCACCATTTCAAAACCTTCGTAGTCGTCGTCCTCCTCCACCTCCTCCTCCTCCTCCCTCTCCTCCTCCTGCCCTCGAGGAAAATAGCGGTTGCAGTGCATTTGTCGTGTAATGAAGCCTTCGCAGGCCTCTCGGGCCTTCATGCGCCAGGGGGCTCTTGAGACCTCCAGAGACTTCTTCCACGATGCTCGATGCTGCGGGTGGGCTCTGTCGGCGCGACCAGTGCGCTCGGAGTCCCTCCACTCGGGTCTGACAACTCTTCGTGGCATAGCTCGGCGTTGTGAGTTGGTCCTTCTCGGCGAGGACAGTCGAGAGGAGCAGCGTTGATCATCTTACGAGCAAGAAAGGACACACACACACACACTCGCGCGCGCGCGACACCGCAACATGCACGGGGCTGGACGACCTCCCAGCGATGGCGAGGAAGCCTTCGCCCCCGACGAGACCGGATGGAGGAGAGGGGGGCAACGCCCGCACGGCGACGCCAGGGGCACCGCGGCAGTCGTCTCCTCCTCCTCGGAGCCTGGGCCCGCTCTGGCCCACGCGGCGCCGCGCCTCGATGTGAGACATCAAGAGAGGCTTGGTGCAGCAGTGTGCGTGCAGCCGGCGGCACTCGCCGCTCTCCTGGGGAGCGCCCCCCCCCCCCCCCCGTGGGCCACGCCTTCGGACCCACCGGAGTCACCCAGATGCTGCGCAGAGGGGTCGTTGCCGTGGGGCGTAGCAGTTTCCTCTTCCTCCTCCTCCTCCTCCTCCTCCTCCTCTTCTCGGCGCACCTCCACCTCCTCTTCCTCCTGGGCGCACCTCCTGTTCCTCCTCCTCCTCCTTCCACTCCTCCTCCTCCTCCTCCTCCTCCTCCTCCTCCTCCTCCTCCGCCTCCTCCTCCTCCGGCGAGTCGTTCCCCAAGGGACCTGCCCAGTACCCCCCTCTTGGCCGCAGACTCGGAATGCCATGCCACAGGAGATTGTCGTGGACTCTAAGCGCAATTGGCGAGGAGCGAGGGGGGAACGTGAGACGGAGAAGGCCTTCTCAGAAGGTGGCGGAATTTCTCAGAAGACTTCGCGCCTTCTGAGAAGTTTCTGTGTCGCCGGGGAAGGCTTAGAACACCTTTCAGAAAGCCGGGAGACTTCCGAGCCTTCCGAGAAGGCCTTCTCCTTCCGTCCCCCCTGGGCTCGCCGCCGAGCAATTGGTGAGTTGGTCTTGCGTGGGGCCCGCTACACATTCATTCGTAAGGTGAAGACAGTGCGTTGACCAAGCATATCAAACAGCCCACCAACCAAGCCAAGCCACAAACAAGCAAGCTTATATATCTATACACATGGATGCTTGGGCTGTGGAAGCAGTGCGAGACTTGGACAAAAGATAATGCCACACGTTGTTGTCAGAGTCCCGTTGTTAAAACTCTGACAGTGGTCGGGTTAAACGCGTTGTTCGTTGTAAACGCCAAGGCGTTGTAAACACCGTTGTGGTCGGTCCTTGGATAATGACAGGTCTGAAGCAGACCAGGAAACACAAGCATGGTTGTGGTGGTACAGTAAACTGCACCAACAAGCAACGGAGAGTATATTTTCCGAAACAGGTGTTGGCGTTTTTGTCGGTGAATCCTGAATGGGCGTTGCAAGAATTGCAAGCCTCATATGCGCCAGGTTTTCTTTATATTTTGAACTGCAGACACGCATGGCAGAATTGTTTCCCAAGGCAGAGGTTCTCGAAGTTCTGGGCACTTTGATGACGATCGGCGCTGATTTTTGCAACGGACGGCCTCGTTTCTGGATGCAATGCCACAGTGATATCTGGCCGTGCTGTAGTCCTTGGCTAGCGCCAGGCCGCGGCCCTGTCCCTCGTCTCCCTCCCTCTCCTGGCCGTGGCGCCCCGCGCTTCTTGCGGCGGGCAGGGAAGGGGGGGGAGGGGGGGCGGGCGGGTCCCTCCCTGTCCCCCTACAGGGGGAATATTCCAAAATAGTTAAAAAAATAGTCTGGGGACTATTTTTTGAGCATTTTTGGCATCTTTTGCGTACTTTTTTGAATATGATCTTATTTTTCATCCAAAATCCCCGTGTAGGGGGACAGGGTCCCTTTCCTTGCTCTTGTCACCCCCTCCCAGGGTGCGGGTAGCCCCTCCCTTCCCTTGCCCTTGCCCTCCACCCCCCCCCCGTCCCCCGCCTCTTCTCGGAGCCGCGGGGTGTTTGCCCCCCCCCCCCCCCCCCCGGGAGCGGGCGCGCGCGGCCCGGCCTGATTCCGGCCCGCCTTCTCGCCTCGCACTGCAGAGCAGAGGGTTTCTTCCCCGCCGACGCCGCTGCGTATCGAGGCTGCCCTGGGGGGAGGGGGGGGCTTTTGGGGGGGGGGAGTGGAGGCATGGGCGGGGGGACATGCTTTCTGCGCGCCTGGCAGGCAGGCAGGCAGGCAGGCTTGAGCGACGACTGGGAGGCCCTGCAGCCAGAAGTTTCCCGCAGGGGTCCAGCAGTGTGCAGGAGCCAAGCGCCCTGTCCAAGTTCCTCCTCGACGCCCCTGCTCCTCCTCCTCCTCCTCCTCCTCCTCCTACTCCTCCTCCTCCTCCTCCCTCTCCTCCCCCTCCTCCTCCCCCTCCTCCTCCTCCTCCTCCTCCTCCTCCTCCCCCTCCTCCTCTCCCCCTCCTCCTTCTCCTCCTCCTCCTCCTCTTCCTCCTCCTCCTCCTCCTCCTCCTCCTCCTCCTCCTCCTCCCTCCTCCTCCCTCCTCCTCCTCCTCCTCCTCCTCCCCCTCCTACCCCCCCCCTCCCCCCCCATCCTCCTCCTGATCCTCCTCCTCCTCCTCCTCCTCATCCCTGGGCGTCCTGTGGCCCTTGCTCTTACTTGGTCCGCCCCTGCGCTTCCCGAGCTGTCGAGCCGGCCCGCGCATCTTCCTGCTGGCCGCCGCCCCCCCTCGATAGTCCGTGCTCCGGAGTCCCGGCAAGGGCCAGGCGCGCAGGGGGGGGTGGCTCTGGGCCTCCCGCATGGGTCAGAGTCGATGGGGTCGACGGATGGCTCCGCACTGGCGGTGCGGCTCGATGTGGACTCCGATTTTCTTTACGTCGACGTCGCCGATGCATCGCCTATCTCGCCAGTGCATCGCCGACGCATCGCCGATGTATTGTCGATGCGGCGTGGTCCTCCGCTCCCCCCATCCACTCGGACCTCAATGAGGAGGCCTCTGGTGGCGCCCCCCGCGTCCCCGGAACTCAGGGGTCCAATGTGTCTGTCAGCCTGGTCTCAGAGACGCAACTTTTTTCTCCCTGCAGACCGGAGGAGGAGGATAACGAAGAGACGGATTGAGGAGGAGGAGGAGGAGGAGGATCGAGGAGGAGGAGGAGGAGAAGGAGGAAGAGCATGAGTACAGATGATGATGACGACCACGACGACGACAAGGATGATGCTGCTGCTGATGATGATGACGACGATGAGGATTATGATGAGACGATGATGATGATGATTATGATGATGAGGGTGATGATGATGATTAGCGTGCTGATGCTGATGGTGATGGCGATGTTCATGATGATGACGATGAGGGTCATGTGGATGATGATGATTAGCATGCTGATGCTGATGATGCTGCTGATGATGTTGATGACGATTATGATTATGATGATGAGGATGCTGCTGCTGATGATGCTTCTGATGATGGTGATGATGATGCTGATTCTGATGATGATGATGATGATGATGATGATGTTGCTGCTGCTGATGATGCCGAGGGTGACGACGATGATGCGGATGCTAATGCTGATGACGAGTCTGATGATGATGACGATGGTGGTAGAGATGATGCTGATGCTGATGATGATGATGATGCTGCTGCTGCTGATAATGATGATGATGCTGACGATGCTGCTGCTGATGAAGCTGCTGATGATGCTGATGAATAATAGGAAGATGGGGTTGAGGCTGCTGATGCTGATGATGGTGATGATGAAGTGTTCGCTGACGATGCAGTTGTTGCTGTTGTTGTTGGTGTGTATAGCTGTTGTTGCTGCTGTTGTGGTTGTTGCTGTTGTTGCTGTTGCTGTTGCTATTGCCGTTGCTGTTGTTGTCGTTGTTGTTGTTATTGTTGTTGTTGTTGTTGTTGTTGTTGTTGTTGTTGTTGTTGTTGTTGTTGTTGTTGATAGTGTTGCTTTTGTTGTTGTTTCCGTTGCTGTTGCTGTTGTTGTTGGTGGTGTTGCCGTCGGTATTGTATGTGTTAGCGTTGCTGTTGTTGTTGCGTCTGAGGTTGGTACTCTTGTGGTCGTTGTTGTTGATGAGAGGCTGTGTGTGATGCGGATGCTGGTGGTGATGCTGATGATGAGGGCGATGCTGCTATTGAGGAGTAGGAGGAGGAGGCGACGACGACGACGATGACGATGATGATGATGCTGAGGATGACGATGATGACGATGATGTTGATTATGATGCTGACGATGCTGATGCTGCTGGTGATGATGATGATGATGCTGATGATGATGATGATGATGCAGCTGATGATGATGAGGATGCTGCTGGTGCTGCAGCTGCTGATGATTCTGATGATGCCGATGATGCTGATGATGATGATGATAAAGATGATGATAATGCTGGTGATGGTGATGATGACGATGATGATGATGTTGATGATGATGATGATGATGATGATGATGATGATGATGATGATGATGATGATGATGATGATGATGACGATGATGATGAGGAGGAGGAGGAGGAGGAGGAGGAGGAGGAGGACCATGACCATGAGAAGGAAGAGGAGGAGGAGGAGGAGGGGAGGAGGAGGAGGGAGGAGGAGGAGGAGGAGGAGGAGGAGGGAGGAGAGCAGAGTGAGGATGAGTAGGAGCAGGAGGAGGAGGAGGAGGGAGAAGGAGCAGGAGGATGGTGGAGGAGGGAGCGAGCCTCGAAAGAGAGGAGGGAGGAGGAGGTAGAAGGGAGGAATCTGGTTAATGGGAGGAGGAGGCGAGGAGGGGAGGAGGAGGAGGAGGATGGAGGTAGGAGAAGTGAGGAGGAGGAGGAGGAGGTAGGAGGAGGAGAGAGGAGGAGGAGGAGGAGGAGGGAGCAGGATCAGGAGGAGGAGGAGGAGGAGGAGGAGGCGGAGGAGGAGGAGGAGGAGGAGGAGGAGGAGCTCTGGATGGGTAGCTGAGAGGCGCGGCTCGGAAGGTTGCGCAGAAAGAGGAGGTAGAAGGGGGGGAGGGAAGAGGAGCAGGAGCCAGGAGGGGAGGAGGAGTGAGAAGCAGGAGCAGGAGAGCAGGCAGGAGGAGGAGGAGGGAGGAGGAGGAGGAGGAGGAGGAGGAGGAGGAGTGATGGAGGAGAGGAAGAGAAAGAGGAGGTAGGGGTGAGGGGGAGGAGGGGAGCAGGAGAGGAGGTAGGAGAGGAGGAGGGAGGGGAGGAGGGGAGGAGGAGGTGAGGAGGGAGGAGGAGGAGGAGGAGGAGAAGGAGGAGGAGGAGGAGGAGGAGGAGGAGGAGGAGGAGGAGGAGGAGGACGAAGATGAGGAGTGGATGGTGCTGCAGGGAGAGAGGAGGATGAACAGAACGAGGAGCAGAAGGAGGAGGAGGAGGAGGAGGAGGAGGAGGAGGAGGAGGAGGAGGAGGAGGAGGAGGAGGAGGAGCGGGAAAGAGGAGGAGCAGGAGGAGGAGGAGGAGGTGGTGAGGAGGAGAGGAGGAGGAGGAGGAGGAGGTGGAGGAGGAGGAGGAGGAGGAGGAGGAGGAGGAGGAAGAGCAGGTTGAGGAGGAGAAGGACGAGGAGCAGCAGCATCAGAAGGGCTGGGGGGGTGTCGAGTAGGTCGGTGGAGCAGCAGCTGGAGTGGCAGAGAAATTCAGGAGTCCATCATGTCCGTCAGCCTGACGGGGGGCGGCTCGCCGCGACGGGTCCGGAGGCCCTCGCTCGTGGGCGCCGCCTTGGGCACCGACGATGACGCATGCTCGCGCCAGAGGTCGGAGAGGATCATGAAGCGGTACGAGAAGGACGCCGCTTCCCTGTCTCCCTCCTCCCTCCCTCCCTCCCTCTCTCCCTCCCACCCTCCCTCTATCCATCCCATCCCTTCCTCCCTCTCTTCCTCCCTCTCTCCTTCTCTTCCTCCTTCTTTCTCCTCCTCCTCCTTCCTCTTCCTCCTCCTCCTGCTCCTCCTTCTCCTCCTCCTCCTCTTCTTCCCCCTCCCTCCTCTCCTCCTGCTCCTCCTCCTCCTCCTCCTATTCTTCCTCCTCCTCGTCCTCCTCCTTGTCCTCCTCCTAACTTCTCACCTCCTCCTCCTCCTGCTCCTCCTCCTCCTCGCCCCTTCCCTCCTCCTCCCTCCAATCCCTCCCTCCTGATCCTTTCCTCCTCTCCTCCTTTCCTCTTCTTCTCCTCCTTCTCCTTCTCTGCTCCTAGCCACTGCTCCTCCGGCTTCTCCCGCTTCTCATTTCCCCTCTCTGCTTTCTCCCTCTTCCTCATCGTCCCTCTTCCTTCTCCTCCACCCGTCCTCCTCCTCCTGTCCTCCTCTCCTCCTCCTCCTCGCTCCCTCCCTCCTCCCTCCTCCCTCCCTCCCTCCTTCCTCCTCCCCTTCCTCCGTCCCTCCTCCTTCCCTCCCTCCCTCCGCCTCCGTCTCCTCCCTTCTGCCCGTCTCCCTGCTCCCCCTTCATTTCTCCTCCTAATGTTTTCTCCTTCTCCTCTTCCTTCTTTTTCCTCCTCCTCCTCCTCTTCCGCCTCTCCTCAGAGCGCCGCAGCGGGAGCCTTCTGAGGTGGGGTGTTGGCCGTTGATGTCGGAACACATCCTCCTCCCCGTTCTATTCCTCCTCCTCCCCATCCCTTGCCTCATCCTTCTCCTCCTCCTCTCCTCCTCCTCCTCCTCTCCTCCTCCTTCTCCTCCTCCTCCTCCTCCTCCTCCTCCTCCTCTACTCCTCCTCCCCATCCCGGGCCTCCTCCTTCTCCTCCTCCCCGTCCCGTTGTCGTTTGGCGCAGTCGAAGCTCCCTCGAGCGAGTCGCACCGCTAGCCGAGCAACCGACCTCCAGGGGGAATCAAAGGTGGCCGCTGTGCCTCGCGACGCCCCGGCCTCTCATGCAGCAGCCTGCTGCTGCCGCCGTCGCTGTCGCCACAGTCCCTCGAGAGCATCTCCGCCACACATAATATATATGCACATATGTATGTGTATAAATGTATTTATGTATGTGTGTATATGTATAGACCTATGTGTACATTTATATATATACACATATACACAGACGCCTCCCAATGGTCTTCTCCTCGGGCTCAGGCGAGGGTGGCGGTGTGCACATCACCACTGAGAGCCAGCGATTTTATACACCCTCCCTGAAGGCACCGGCGAAGCTCGTCGGCGGGCGTGCGGCGTTGCATCCGGGCCGCGCTGAGGCCCCGCCAGAGGAGCCCGCGCCGGCCGCGGCTGCCCACGGTTCGTCCTCCGAGATCGCGGAGGGCTCCACTGCGACGGGCAGCTCGGGCATCTCGTGGCACACCGGCTATTTGGCCCCGAACGTGCGAAAACGACCTTGCTCGTGGTCTTCTGCGAGCAGGTGCTGGTGAGCTCCTCGGCCGTTGTCGCAGCGCCCTCGATAGGGGGAGCTGCTCTACCATGTGCTTCGTGCAGCTGGCGCTGACGACTAGTGACCTTGCAGGCTTCCTAGTCTGCGCGGCCACCATGCGCCGGTGGAAGACCACGTGTACAGCCTCCTCGTTTGCTTCCACTGGAATCTCCTCAGGCAGGAGCTAGATGCTCGGCGCCTGCACTCGCCATGTCGGAAGGTCTGGGTGCTCGACCACGCCCATGGTACCTGACTTGCTGTTGATCTGTGCGAGTCGGAGCGTGAAGCGGAGCAGCAGCTTGCCTACCTGTAGCTGGGCCTATTCCTTCGTGCTGGCCTTCTTGAGTCCCCACAGGGCGTTGGCGCTGCGGACTTGGCGGGGCTGTTTGCTGTTGAAGCGCAGGGTGGTCCCGCGAGCCACGCCACCAGCCTGTCTTGACATGCCGCTGTGCACCAGAAGGCTCGTGCCTCGGGGTTGCCGACGTTGCCCCTGTCGCCGTAGATGATGTCGACGCTGAGCATGAAGACGTTGGCATGATCCCTCGCTGGCGTTCTTTCCAGGCAGAGCTGGGTGTCGCCCACCTTCCTTTTGCCGCCGAAGAACTGGGCAACATAGAAGCTCGGGTGGCTCTTGGCGTGCTGCGGCTGCAGTTCGTTCTCCTGCTGGTGGTCGGCGTGCTCTGTGTCTTCCCGCCTCAGCTGGGCAGGCATGGGAATCACTTGCCAGTGCTTGCCTGGCGCCAGCCACCCCTCCTGCATGTCCGATTCCTGCGGATGCCAGTCGTCGTCGTCGTCGTCGTGGCAATCCTCGCACGTGATGTGCTTCGCTGGGGTCATCGCCTTGTGTCTCTGGTAGCCCTGCTTCTTGAGCTCCGCGGCCTATCGCTGATCCTCCCGCCTGAAGGCGTTCATCTCTTCGTCCGTGAGGGGCTGCGTCGGTTCCATGGCGTGCGCCAAGCAGGATCTCCTCGCTCGGATGTGTCTTTTCAACTTCATTCTCGTGCCGAGGTGTCGCAGACAATGAGCGCAGGCAGCCCCTTGGATCCATCTTTCTGCAGCGTGGCACGTCATGTGGTACTTGGCTGTGTGCATGTTGAGGTCCCATTACGTGGCGCATGTGGTCCCGCACTCGTAGCAGAAACAGCCGTGGTTCTACTCGTCCTCGTGCTCTTTCCCGTTCTGCTCGTCCGCTTCTGGAGGTGCGTGAAGCTTGCCTGGTGTGGCCTGCTGAGGCTTGATGCCTGCAGCTGTCATCTCCTTCCTCCGTGCTGTGAGGCGTTGCTGGCCAGCGTGCCAGCAATGGTGTCGGCCCTGTGCTTGCTTGCACCAGCTCAGCCATCGGTTTGGCCATTCTCTGCACAGCTGCATCCAGGCGTCCAGTCCCGTTTCTGTGCCGGGCATGTCGTCGAGGGTGACGTAGCTGCGGAGCCAGCGAACGTCGGGCTTAATCTGGCCAGCCCAGCTTTCGTCCTAATTGATTGTGAGATCGAGGGGCCTGAGGAGCTGCGGCCAAGCTTATTCGAGTGCTTTGGGTAGTAACTGCGATTTGAGGCAGGACAGCAGTGTCCTGCAGTTCTCGATACCCGCCTCGGCCTGAACCTGACCGTTGGTGAAGTGCTTCTCGCGGTAGTTCTTCATCGAAATATCGAGCCCGAGCGTCTCTGTATGTGCTCCGTCCATCTCTGCAAGCGCTTCTGGCTTAAGCTTCGGCCAGCTGCTCGCGCCGACATACCTGTAGCGGTCCCACTGATCGGCTCTGCTTGCCTCCTTCGTTTTTGATTTCACCCCACATGTTCTGGTCGTCCGCCCTTCTGTATGGCCCCTAGGTGGCAGTCCCTCTTGTTGAGGTGGACCGGAACCTCGATCCCAGGGGTCATAGTCGCGGGTTGCACACCTATAAACAGCTGCGAGCGGACCTTCCTTGAGTGGTCGCCCCTGAGTGTGCATAGAGCTTCTGTCTTGCCTTTCTTGTTCTTGATGGGTGGAACGCATCGTGGGCCACTTTCGCCAGAGTGGCGCGTCTGTCTGGGAAGTCGAACGACAGCCGTCATAATGCAGGAATCGTCCACGAACGCGTTGTCGCGTACCTCCTCCTCCTCCTCCTCCTCCTCCTCCTCCTCCTCCTCCTCCTCCTGCTCGTTTGCCCCCCTCAAATCATCCTGGAAGTTTGAAAGCAGCGCTGGATTTCGGGCAGCTTGGTAAGCACTGCCTCCTGCCCGAGATTCACGGCGAGCTGGTTCAGCACCCTGGAGTGCAGCGCGTTGAAGAACAGGCTTGCGTTGTTTTTGTCAGGTCCCGTGCCTCTGCCATGCCGTGCTACAGTGAGCGGCTTGAGTAAGGAACACTTAATTTTCAAAAGGGGCTTGGTCGTTCCTTAAGGCTTGCATGCGTTACGTATCGTTCCTTATGCGTCTTTTTATTATGTATCGTTCCTTATGCTTTTTTCCTTGGAAAACAGGGGCTTCGTTCCTGATTTATCGTTCCTTAGGTCAGGCCGATGACTGTATCTTGTCGCTGCCGGGCACCTTGAACCACGAGGCGCGGCATGATTCGCCGAGCATTGCGCTGAGGTGCACATGCTCCCCGCAACTCGTGGCGCCGAGAATGCCAGGCTCGGTTGCCAACTCTCGCATGATTGCAGTGGATTTCCTTGGGCGCCTCCGTGGTGGAGATCGTCTCCTCTGCCTCCTCTCGAGACTCTGGGAGGTCCGTGGCCATCTTGTCTCAAGATGCAAGGCCTCCTGTGGCACCGAGCGGAGGCCTCCAATCCGAGGCTGGACCCCAAGGCTGCCTCCGTTCGATCCTCCCAGCGAGCTGCCCAGCGGCCGAGGGCCCCGTTCCCACCCTCGGTTGCCCTGGTCGCCTGCGGCCGCGGTCAAACGGCGGCATCTCCAGCTCCTGCGGTCGTAGGTGCCAGTCATGGCCCAGCGACAGCAGCAGGGGGGCAGTGTGAGTCGCAGTCGCGACCACCGCAGTGGGTCCAACAGTGCTTCGGGAACATTGTCGTGGCAAGTAATCACCGCGTTCGGATAGCAGTACCCCTTCCTCCATCGAGTCACAGGTTGTCAAGCCGTTCGCGCAGGGGCCCTATTTCAGTTTTCTCTAGAGAGGGCCCCACACCAAGGTGCCGGAAGAAGCAGCTCGACATCCATGGCCTACTTGGAGAGATGCGTACGTTCATGGGCTTCTGCCAGAGTGCGGTCATCGAGAAGCTCGACACGTCCGTCGCCACCATCAGAAGTCATATCGCAGGTCACGTCACCATATTGAACTCCACACAGCAGGACATGGTATCGCAGCAGGGTCAGATCTCGACGTGGAACGAGCAGATCGTAGACCTTGCATGCCAGGTGGAGAACATGATGCAAGGCAGTGTGTTCGGCAATGCGACAACCATCAGCGGCAGCATTCTTGCAGAGCCAGGTGGAGTAACCAATCGTCGTCGGCCTGGTCCGCAGTTTCAGCAACCTATCGATGCCGAGGTCAGGTACATCGGCTCATTTCCTCGTCCGTTGCTTCGTGATGCTCGAAGGGCCCACTACGGACAGCGCGTAGCGATCAGGTTCCAGTATCTTTTTGCTGGACTAGAGCCTACATGTCATGGTGTGTCCCAGTCATCCAAAGTTAAGTTATTCATTATTCAATGTTGTCAGTTCAATGGTGTTCCAGAACACATGCAAGAGACTGGCGGTCACGAGTGGCGTGACCCCCCCCGCGCGAGGAAGACAGTTGGCATGTGCTGCTGGCAAGACCTACCACTTGACGCTCGGGATCGCATGCGGCCCGTTCTTGCAGGAGCTCAAGCGCTCGCCCAAAGGCGTGCTCCAGATCATCGGCTGCGGTGGCGTCTGAGAGCGGTTTCGGAGCTTGCCGAGTGGGGCGTCGGCTACGCGAGGGCGCTCGAGCTCATCTCGGCAGCCGCGCTCTGGGCGAGGGAGTAGGATGCATTCGAGGAGCAGTCGCCGCCTGGAGGACAGCGTGGGGCGCAGCCGCCAGTGAGTGAGCACATCCTTCTTCCTTCCCCGAGCGTCGAGGCGGGCGGGCATTATCAAGTACGTGTTGACTGTAGATGCAGTTGTCACAGGCAGCCTGTGCCCAGCAGCCGTTTCCCCTCTTCCCCTCCCCTATCTCGTCCTTTCGCACTCGAGCAAAGACTCGGCATTTGCGTTTGGAACCTTCGGATTTTCCTAGGATCAGCGTTTTCGGATCAAGATGTGCTATGGCAGAAGCCTCGCTGCCTGAATATCCTCCTTGTGAAAAGCGGTGCTGCGTGCGCGCAGGGGCCGCGTGCCATTGCAACGGACCGTGTGCATTTCAGAAAAGCACTACAAGTCTCACTTTCTGCTTGACACTTTCTGCAAGTCTTCATCCGCTGGTAGCCTGCTCCCTTCTGTGTCGTACCAGTTGCCCGCGGAGTCTCAGGCTGTCGGATTGCGCGTTGCAGTTCCAAGTCGCATTGATTGCCTTCTCCTCCAACGTCCCCCGACTGGTCTGGGTGGGAAGTCTGAAGCCGGTTTGATCGCATCCGGAAAGCGCTCCTATCTCCTACTGTCTCTTTGGGGTCGCTCTTGGTGGCTGGAACTTTCTCGAGTCTGGTCAACCGTGCTTCCACGCTGACGCTGGTCCTGAGCGTCCTGTCAGCTCGCGGCTTGCTGGCCATCGTCAAGCTGTGCTCGGTCAGCTTGCCGAGGTAGCGCAAGAGCGAGATGCGCGCCGTATTGTTTGTCGGGCTTGGGGGGGCGCGGACGCACCGCCAAGCATGTCTTTTGTGCGGCTAGGTCAGATCTACTGCGCGCTCGCCCCGCAGGACTCGTTGGATCTATGTCTTAGGGCTGGTGCGGTTTCACCTATCACTGATATGTGTGCACTCTCTGATCACTGCCCAGTGTTCCTATCGTCGGCTCCATGGTCTCCTACGGGGCCTCCAGGGATTGCCTCCTGGGCCAATGCGCGCGATCAGTTCGCTATCCTGATTAGAGACATCTTGGGCCCCGATTCTTTGTCGGTGGAGCCGGGCGTGCGTCTCTTGGAGATCAGCGAAGTTGTGCGCCTCGTTGCGCGTCGGGTCAAGGACTGCGTTTGTCAAACAGGAGCTAGGACTGTTCAGGAACGGCTTCTGTGTATGTTACCATGCTTCGTGGGACTAGAAATTGGGGCCTCCCTAGGATCTCTAAGGGCCTCAAAGGGCTTTCTGATTTCTTAAGGTGTCTAGATCCCCGGGCGATGAGGTGGCCTGACCGCGCGGGCTTCGACGTCCTTGTGTCCAAGCTTATGTGCCCAAATTTTCAAGCCTGTGAAGCTTCGGCTCGAGCTGCGGTGGCCGCGCCGAGTGGGGGCTCCTGTGCCGCCCAGCAGCATGCCCGTATCCGTCGGATGTCGCTCGCATGGCAATTTTTTTGCACAATTCACTGACTCAGAGGGCGTGGGTCGCAGCGGCCCGGACGAGTGCTCCATGATGCGGTCAGAGCATTAGGGCAAGGTCTTTCAGTTCCACACTTCTGAATTCGAACTGATCGCTGATGTGACCTCGGCTGTTACCCCGATCCCCGAGGGTGATCACCAGTATATTTCCAGGCGTGATTCTGTCGTTCCTTGGATTGTCCCTGAATCGATCTTTTCTCACATTATGGGCAGCAAAACATATGCTTGCATGGGTGTTTGCTGATTCCTTTTTGGCCAGGTGGGGAGAATGGCACCCTCGAATCTTGGGTTCTGCGAGGAGGACGGAGAGGAGGAGGAGAAGGAGGGCGAGGAGCAGAAACAGAAGGACGACGAGGAGCAAGACGAGGAGGATGAGGAGGGGGAGAGGGAGGAGGAGGAAAAGGAGGAGGAAGAGGAGGAGGAAGAGGAGGAGGAGAAGGAGGAGGAGGAGGAGGAGGTGGAGGGGGCGGCTGAGGAGGAGGAGCAGGAGGAGGAAGAGGAGGAGGAGGGGGAGGAGAAGGAGAAGGAGGCAAATGAGGAGGATGAGGAGGCTGGAAGAGGAGGCACACGACTCGGAGGAGGAGGACGAGGAGGAGGAGGATGAGGTGGAGGAGGACGAGGAGAAGGAGGAGGACGATGAGAAGGAGGAGGAGACGACGAGGAGCAAGAGGAGGAGGAGGAGGAACAGAAGAGGAGGAGGAGGAGGAGGAGGAGGGAGGAGGAAGGAAGGAGGAGGGGGGCGGCTGTTTGAGCAGGGGCAGGAGGAGGAGGAAGAGGAGGAGGAGGAGGTGGAGGAGGGGGATGAGTAAAACATTGATGAGGTGGAGGTGGCCTGAGGAGGAGGCACGACGCGGAGGAGGAGGAGGAGGACGAGGAGGAGGAGGAGGACGAGAAGGATAACTTGAACACAATGCAATTCATGGGGTCCTGACTTGGCTATCCGCATCACTGCAAGAACACATGCTGCAATTCGGCACGCGCTCGGTCTCTGAGGCGGGTCGCTATGGACCCCACATTCGCCCTCTAAGGTGAGACCTTCGCTCACCCCAGCAGAGGCACTGGCGGGCTCTCTGCCTGCCCTAGCCCCCCCCCCCTCCTCATCCTCGCGCCTCCCGCCTCCTCCTCCTCCTCCTCCTTTTCCTTCCTCCTCCTCCTCCTCCTCCTCTCATCCTCCCCTCCCTCCTCCTGCTCCTCCTCGTCCCCCTCCCCCTCCTCCTCCTCCTCATCCTCCTCCTGCTCGTCCTCGTCCTCCTCCTGCTCTTCCTCTTGCTCCTCCTCCTCCTCCTACTCCTCGTCCTCCTCCATCGTTTTTCCTTCACAAATGACTTCTTTTTGTTGCGCCTCCAGACGTTTCGGTAGGGCGGCCCAGGCGTTTAGCGACTCCCACACCGTTTTGGATCTAATTGCAAGATTTTAGCGCAAGGGGGCGGGTGATTTTGAACATGTGGCTCTCGCCAAGGTGCCGCACGCATTCGTTGTAAACATTTGCAGCAGCTTCAATAATGGACCATCGGCCGTTTTCAAACTGTGCCCCTCGCCTTAGCTCCGTACGCCTTCATTCTCACGGTTACCAGCAGCTTCATTTTTCTTTTTTTGTTAGAATGTGGCTTTCGCCTTGACGCCGCGCGCATTCGTCTTAGCAGTGTGCAGCAGCTTCAAAGATGGATGGCGGTTCCTTTTCAATCTGGTGTTCTAGCTTTAGCGCAGCGCACACTCGTACGTAGTTGAAGTTTCAGGGCTTGTGCTCTGGTGCGATGAAGGAGTGTCATGACGCGATCGTCACGTTGATTCGCGGTGTTGAAGTCCCAGGCATGGTGTTTTGGAACGATTTGCGATTGTTTGGGCCGCGCCAGTAACGTCCACCCGCGGCGAACAAGTCCCAGGACGTATGTGTTGGCGCGATTGAAGATTCTCAGACGCTTGTTTTCTAATGAGCCATTTCCCGCATTGAAGCTGGGGAGGGTTTATTGTAGCATCGCTGACGCGTCTTGGATTTACACTGGTCCTCCCCCTCCTCCTCCTCCTCCTCCTCCTCCAACTTCTCCTCCTCCTCCAACTTCTCCTCCTCGTTCATTACTTTCCTTATCATTTTTTTCCCTTTCCGCACCCCCAGACGTGTCGGTAGGGCGGGCCGGGTGTTTCGCTTGGGACTTCCACACCATTCGTGATCGTGACGCTTGAGATTTGCTACAGTTTCAAGGATGGCGGGTGGGTCCTTTCCAATCTGTGGCTATCGACTTAGCGCCGCGCAACTTCGTTGGAGCAGTTTGCAGCAGCCTCAAGGATGGAGGGCGGTTCTTTTCAAACTGACTATCGCTTCAGCGTCGCGCGCATTACAGAAATATTGAAACAGCTTCAAGGATGGAGGGCGGTTCCTTTTCGAATTCAGGCTCTCGGTTAAACGCCTTGCAGATTCGTTTCAACAATTTGCAGAAGGATGGCGGGTGGTTCCTTTTCGGAATTTGATTCTCGCCATGGCGCCACGCACAGTCCTCTTTAAGCCTTGTACCAGCTTCCAGGGTAGAGGGCTGCTCCTTCTCCAAGTGTGGCTGTCGCCTTAGCGTCGCGCACACCTGTTTTAGCAGTTTGCAGCAGTTCTCAAGGATGGAGGGCGACTCCTGGTCAAACATGGTCTCTCGCCTTCGCGCCGCGTGCGCTCTCGATGGACAGTTTGCCACCGTTTCGAATATTCGTATGGTTGGAATCCCATGAGTGGTGTTCTGGCACGGTTTAGGATAGTCAGGGCGTGGCAGTCACCTTGATTCGCGGTGTTGAATTCTTAGGGGTTGTATTTTGGCACGGTCGAGGATTCTCAGACTCCTGTTTTCGAATGGCCACTTCCCGCATCGAAACTGCAAGAAGCTGCAGAGAGGGAGGAGGAGGAGGAGGAGGAGGAGGAGGAGGAGGAGGAGGAGGAGGAGGGGAGGAGGAGGAGGAGGAGGAGGAGGAGACGCAGGAGGAGTCGCAGAGTCGTGCAAGCAGCTGCAGAGAGGGAACCTGCAGGGTGGGCTTTATTGTGACAGCGTGGATGCGTCTTGGGTTTGCACTGGCCCTCCTCCTCGTGCCCCCCGCTCGCTTCTCCCTCCCTCCCGGAGGAGGAGGAGGAGGAGGAGGAGGAGGAGGAGGAGGAGGAGGAGGAGGAGCGGCGGGAGGGAGGGAGGGAGGGAGGGGAGGGAGGGAGGGAGGGAGGAGGAGGAGGAGGAGGAGGAGGAAGAAGAAGAAGAAGAGGAGGAGGAGGAGTAGGAGGAGGAGGAGCACGAGCAGGAGCAGGAGGAGGAGGAGGAGGAGCCCCTCCCGCTCCTCGCCCTCCTCCTCCGCCGCACGTGGTGCGGGGTGAGTCCGCGCCGTCGGCGTCTGGGCCGCGGCGCCTGGGCAGCGGGGCACTCTGCGCAGTGTGGCGCCACAGAGGCAGCCCGTCGCGAGCCCGGCCTCTGGGGCGAGTCGCTCGACCGCCCTTGCGAGGGCTCGGGGCACGCGGTTGATGAGGAGTCTTCGATTGTTTTCGGTCTGGGTTTTGGGCTTCCTCCTCCTTCTCCTTCTCCTCCTTCTCCTCTTCCCCCCTCCTCCCCCACCTTGCGCCCTCCTGCGCGCCGCCGAGGAAGTCGAGAAGGCCGATAAAGAGAGTCAGCTCAGCCACGTGCCGCTCGCGAGCAGGGGCAGCGGCAAGCCGGACGCGACGGCCGTGGCCAAGAGCCTGAAGTCCGACATGGACGGCCTCCTGAAGAAGGCGGGCTTGAGGCTGAATAGCACGGGCGGGAACTATCGGATGACGTGTCGCTCCGCTGGCTCCGGCCCGCCGCGTCTCGGTGCGACACGCTGTCCACTTGGCGCCCCCGAGGCGCCCGCGTGCCCGAGCCTTTCACGGCCCTCCCGCCCCGAGGAGCGGAGCGACACGCCATCCGCTCGCAGGGCATGGCGTGTCGCGGGGGCAGCCGTGGCGACACGCTGAGCAGAGCATCCGACCGTACTCGTATCACTTGTAACGCAAGCAGCAGCACACACATGACGTCTGCTTGGGTACAAGTATGATATGAACAGTTGGGACAGAAGGCGGGCATGAGGCGCACCTCAGACGGCGGCACCTGGGACAATCTCTTCTCCAGCAGCGGCTTCAAACATCAGCTGCAGTTCCTCGAGCAGCACTCGAAGTCTGGCCACTTCAGAGAGGAGTACGCGAACGGCGAAGGCTCTTACGACGGCGAGTTCCTGTATGGGATGCGGCACGGGAAGGGCACGCACGTTTTCCGCG